GTGGTCTAGCTATGCAGACTCTAGGTTCTGTAGGTTTGAGATGGAGGCAGAAACTTGGCATGTTTAATGAATTGCCAGGTGCTGCACCCTGTGGTTGGCAGCAACAGCCAAGTCCTAATCCCTGCCACCTTCAAAGGTGACCGTCTCTCAGGAGGCTTCAAACGGGTCCTGGGAGAATGGAATTAAATGGACTTTTCCCAAGAACTTTCTGAATCCCCCTGGCATTTCCAAGGGGGGCAGGTAGTTGCAGGTGATTCAAATAAAAGATTTTGAGATGGGAAAATTATCCTGGATTATCTGGCTGGGCTACACGTATCCTTCTAAGGAGGAGGCATCTTGCAGGAATGGGCAGGTTTTAGACTCAGTCCTTTCTCATTTGTCTTACTCACGGCTGGCTCAAGTTTCAACCAGCATTACACAGGACACGCTGGCTAGGGCAGAAGTCACTATGACCACGGAGGCAAAGTGAGATGCTGCTGCTGGCTTTGCCGATGGAAGAAGGGGCCACAAACCCAAGAGGGGAGCTTCGGACGCTGGGAAGTTCGAGGAAATGGAAGGAAAGGGGGTGAGCAGCCTGCCCACAGATACTTCCTTCGCCTGATTTCAGAGTTCTGACCCTCAGAACCGTTAAGGCAAGGGAGTCTGTGGTTATTTTGCCAACATAGCCACAGAAAACCAACCTGCCAACACCAGGGTCTTCCGACTGCACGTAGGAAAGTCCTTGAGAAACGACAGAACCATGGCTCTAACCCTGGCTGCACACGAGAACAGGCTTCTTTGTTTTTCTTGTCAAGAAAAATGTGCTGTCAAATTCCAGGTCCAGTTAAATTCCAATGGATGGGATTGGACCCCCAGAATCACGGGTGTCTGAGGAAAGGCATCACCTACGCTCTCCAACAGTCTACACTCATTATCCTGCGAAAACCATAAGAACACCCTGAAAACACATCACCAATTCCTCCGAACTAGTCAATGTCCCACAGGGATGGACAGGTGTCAGGCTCAGTCCTTTCTCAGGAGTATCACCTAAGCTGGTTGAGACTTGACTGGGCTCAGGAAGAGCTGTCTCGGCATGCACATCCACGGAAGGGACTGGCCAGTGCAGCTAGCATGAGGCCCGAGGTTCCTTTCTGCACTTTTCAATGAACAGCTACACCTGGGGCCAGTGCGATCCGTGCCTGAGAAGCTTCTTCCTCTCTAGGTCGATGGCTTTGTGGTTTCTAGAAGAAATAGGAATGCTGACCACATTTTAATTGAAAACTCACCTCAGAATAGCAGCTTTGAACAGAGCCCCGATGGCACAATGGTGACATGTTTGGCTGTGGACAGAAAGTCTGGCTTTTCAAATCCACCGCACGGGGAACCGCCGCAAGAAAGAAAGACTTGGTAAAGGTGAATGATCCCCAAACTCCCCGCCATCAGGTCCATGCTGACTCTCAGTGACCCCTACCCTGTGCGTTTCTGTGACCGTAACCGTTGACGGGAGTAGAAAGCCCAGTCTTTCTCCCTCGGAGCTGTCGGTGGTTTTAAACTACCCACCATGCAGGCTGCAGCCCAACACGTAACCGTGACCCCACGAGGGCAAAGATCACAGCCTAGCAAGAGCAATGGGGCATTCTGTGGTCCCGTTGGGGTGCCGATAGGGCTCTTGGTGGTGTAGTGGTTACATATTGGCTCACTGCACAGTGTGGTAAAAACAGGCATGGGTCCAAGACAGGCCTCTCTCCTCCTGTAAACAGTTCACAGGGCAGTTCTAGCCTGTCCTACAGGGTCTCTATGAGTCGGCACTCACTCGATGTG